GAAAATGTTTTATCTAATAGCCAATAGAAAAAAAGGAAGACGACTTAAACCAAATCTATATACGCAGAAAGAGACAATGGTGAATCTTGCACTGCCCTGGTGACAACAAAATATACAACTTGTATGAGTAACCCTTTTTCTTGTTTAGAAAACTCTACTCTCTCATCTAAACATGACTCACCCTATCTTGTTCTTTTCTCTTCCTTTTTTCTATTGGCTATTAGATAAAACATTTTCTTTAGTTACGTAATCTACCTTTTTGTTATGCTCTTTCTAGCTAAACCTTTTTTCTATACATTGTATATATATGCAACTCTGTTTTTGTTTCCAAGCCTAACTGTCTAATTATTCTATAAATAGTCAGTGTTTGTAACTCTTAATTGGTTAAATCATTCCGGACTAATGTTACTTTTACTTCCTACCAATTACTCCTTGTGATCGTGGAAAAGTATGTTCAAATCTTTAATGTAATGTAATTCATATTTTTATCGTTCAGGTTGTAACCAGTTGAGAAGAATCCTCGAAACAATAAAAGATGAGCTCATATTATCCTGGTACAACTGTTGTTCTTGCTTTGTTCAACGTTACAACAGTTAAACCAATACGTTAGAAAAAACTGATGAACAGTCAAGTCCCTCCAAGGACACAATAAATACTGATGGACTGAAACCAAAGTTTAGTATGAAGCCGTCTAGAACTTAGACGATTATTTAGCATATCCCTTTTTTGAAGTGGTGCCACCTGCTTTATCCGGTAGGTATTAGGGCGTTTTGATAAATTAAGCCAAAATGTACAAGTAGGATTTCACTAAAATTCAATAAAAAATGACTAACTTTTGAACTTACTGCCTCCTTTAATCAATTACATTGTACAGATATCAGTATGAAACCAAAATTTAATCACTAAAGTGCAGCAAATGTAACGAAGCCTGGGAATATAGTGCCACTGATAATAAGTACGTCAGAAAAAAGTTTTTAATGCGAAATTTCATCCTGTAAACACGAAAAGCATGACTTGTCATTTAAACACCCAACTGATAGCTGCTACCTTGACGTGGTGGTCATTTAAACAAAATAGCAACAGTGTACGACGTTGTGGTTAGTGGGGACGCGCAATAAAGCCACTCCTAAAACTTCACTTGAGAAGAGGTATCAGTCTTAAAATGTTGCATATGTTGTCAGATGTTCGTTATTTAGATTCACTCTACAGAAAGCAATTTTCTCCATCAGACTATATATATATATATATATACATGTGTATATAAACATATTAATATATGTGTAAAACTTGGGCACTGTGGTAGTAAGTAATTCCATATTAGTTTGTTTATTAGGTATATCACACAGTGAAACAGTATTATTTACTGGATGACGTTTCGAACAAAATTTATTGTTCATAATCATATCAATTGTGATCACACGACTTTGACACTTGAGTTTTATGGTTTTCTTTGTTTTCTCCAATTTGTCGTAGGGGGAGTAGAATTTTCCAGATATCTGGGACAGGTGATGAATCATTCCTATTACATGTATTTACAGCTGATTCGATAAACAAAGCTTCTGTTATCAATCTCTCCCTATACCCTGTGACATTAGATTTTAAAACTGTCATCCTATCCCATCCATGTAGTGCTATAGCTGAACTATTCTCTAGATTTCTTATCTTATTTGGGTCAACCAATCTAGATTTTGCTAAGTTTTTATGTTCAGCTAGTCTGACTGCCCCTGTTCTACTAGTTTGACCTATGTATTTGACCTGACAATCATTGCAGGGTATGAGATAAACTAACTTGGTTTGTTTTAAAGGCTCTACAGGATCCTTTAAACGACAAAGCTTGTTTCTAATTGAGTTTGTGGGTTAGAAAGCCTTTTTTATTCCTACCTTGTTAAGAATTCTGCGTAAGGCTTCCGAGGTTCCTTCCTTGTATGGAACTACTACTGATGATTTAGATTCCTTATTATTAGTGTCGTCATTAATATTATTATTATTACCACTATTATTACTATCATTATTATTGTTATTATCACTATCCCTACTATCATTATTTATTTTATTTTTACATTTCCTTACATATTTCTTGACTAATTTATCCGGGTAATTATTAAGTTTCAAAGCTTCTTTTTATGTGTATCAGTTCCTGTTTTAGATTTTCTTTGGTACTACTTAGTTTTTGTGCTGTCATTTAAACATTTCATCAATCCTAATTTTACTGACATAGGATGGGATGATCGGAAGTCTAAATATCTGTTTGAGTGTGTGGGTTTCCTGTAAACACTAGTGTTTAACTTCCCATCTTCTTTCCCTTTTACGTTGTAATCTAATATTCGGAGCTCCCCTTCCTGATTTTCCAATTCATAAGTGAATTGAATTGCTTCAACCTTCGAGTTGATGTGTTCGAAAAACCTATCTATATCTTGTGTTTTAAGTACAGTGAATGTGTCATCTACATACCTCCGCCATACTTTTGGGGTGGGGGTGAACGTTTCAATCGCTATGCTTTCCCACTTATCCATGAATATATCTGTTACAACTGGGGATATTGGTGATCCCATTGCAACTCCTTCAGTTTGTTTGTATATTTTCCCTTGAAATTTAAATACTGTGGAAGTCAGGCATAGCTGCACTCCCAGCATTATGTCCTCAAGTGGCACTTTTGTCCTAAGTTCGAGTTCTTGGTCAGAAATGAGTTCGTTTCTGACTGCTTTCATAGCCATATTTATTGGTATACGTGTGTATAAACTGACAATGTCAAAACTAACCATTTTTTCTTCATTATCTATTATTATTATTATATACGTATATATATCTTATATATATATATACATATATATCTATATACTATTATATATATACATATATATCATTATATATATATGCATAAAGTGACTGATGAAGTTTTGTTTGTCCCTTGCTTAACCATGTTGTATGATGTTCGGAAATACGATGATGAACCTGCCTAATTGTACACCCAATGTAGCTGGCTCCGCAGCTGCAGTCAAACTGGTAAATACACATAGAAGAGGCAAATTTAGGCAGTTTATCCTTATTTCTCGAACGTAGAATAAGGGTGGTTGTGATGAGACAAGGTACCTCTGCTGCATAATAAGCTCTTTTAACTGCATTCTTCAGGCGCTGTTATTATTTCACTGATGTTGTCACCGAGGAACTGCAGTTTTATGAACAGTGCTTTTTTCGGAACTGTTGCTATACTGAATTTGCCTGAAGTTGTGATGACAACTGTTGACCAGTGAAGTCCACAAAATTCTCTGTGGGGATAAATACTTTCCAGAAAATATTGGCTGGCGATTGTGCTATATATCGCAGAGTGGCGGAAGTTAGAATTTATGGGTCATAAGATCCCATCATAGTATCTGAATGTTCAACGGATTTGCCTAGTAATCTCATGGTGCCTGGATTTGACTCTTTGTGGGGTAAAACAAGTATGTACTGTTGAAGAGTCTGAAACAAGGACGAAGCATTCATTAAATTCTCTCTGGTTTTTAATGCTTCTCTAAGTGATGTCAGCTTGTAAACATAACTTGAAGTCAGTCTATTCCCTGCAAGCCTACATTTGAAAGCATTGTAAAAAAACTTGATTTCAGCTGGAGTCCAGAAGAATTAGACGACAACACTATCTGGTATCTGATAACTGAATCTTTCACCTATATTGTGCATCCTTTTTATTCATTTCGAGGATTTGTAGGACATTAACTCATACCAGAATAGTTCTCATAGAAAATAATATTAATTAGAGGAATACTGAAAAATATTATAAGGGTTATTTTCATGACCTGAAACTACATCATATTACATGCATACAAACATTCGGAACTGAGAAAATAGAACCGCCAGATCATTTTGCAATGAAACACTTTATCAGTGAGTAGATCCACAAGAATCTAATGACTAACTTATCTTTCTTAACTTCTCTCAGCTCTCCATTTACTGAGTCAATCATCTGTAGTTGTGAAAAGTTGCTGTCTTTTTAAATAGTGCAGAAGAAACGAAAACGTATTATCCTTGACAGGGTGCTCTTAACTCTGTAGATAACTCTGAAGGAGGCGTTTGTTGAGATGGAATGACGAGCGTTGACGAAGTGTTAAATTATCGCACACCTTATGGAGCCACTGCTATCTTTCTGTAACCATGCGTAGTATTGGTTTTCAGTGCTTATAGACAGTTTACTTGGGTAGTGTCATCGGCTAGTATTTGTCTCCACTCACAACCGGATAGGCCTTACTGTTTATTTATTTATTTTATTTTTTTTACTTTGATTACAGCTTGATTCCACACCGTATTTTCAGTACAAGTGTGGAATTTTCAGCATGGATATTGGTAGCCCAAATATACAAGCCTACCATAGATATCGGGTTTTCAAGACTGTTCAACACTTCTCACTAGAACTGCAACCAACTACAACCAACCGTTAGCAAACGTCAGATCAAGAGTTAGTTTGTCGGGATTTGATTTGCTTCAATTTTGATCATGGATTGATTTCAGTCAGAGAATCATTGAAAACCAGCTGGGAGTACTGAAAAGATGTTCTTTTCTAGTTTGCGACTCATCGGCAGTATCCATTCACTGGGATTCGAATCCAGTACCTTCTGACCACAAGGCAAGCTCGTAGACGCTTCAGCCACTGAGACACACAACTCTTATTTGTCTTAGTTAGCCTAAATCTACATCACTCATTTCTGAAGTCAGAAAGTGTACTACTCACTTGTAATAATTAAGCCTAAATGTTTTACCTATAGAAGTATACCACGTGTGTATAGTCATCTATCCATTCTACTGGTCAGCGTTTTATTAATCACATCTGTCGTGTAACTATTAGCAACATGGGATGCTTTTAGATTGACGTACTTTCTGAGAAGCCTACTGGTTACATTACATAAGTGAAGTCAGTAATCAAAACAGTTATCATTGAATGCCAAATTCAGTATATATATGTAAATAAACGCATGCTTTTTTCTTTTGTTTTCTTTTGTTGTTTTAATCAGGTTATGGCCATAGCACACCGAAGACAGTTGGTGGTAAAATATTCTGCATGTGTTATGCTCTGCCTGGTATCCCATTATGCCTTATCATGTTTCAAAGTATCGGTGAACGTATGAATACAATCATAACGTATATATTACAAAAAATCAATTTATTATGTAAAATTAAAAAGATTATCTCACAGACACACTTAATGATTGTTAGCTTTACAATCGGTTCAACTGTATTAACCATCGGTGCTGTTGTCTTTTCACGTTATGAAGATTGGAATTATTTAGACTCATTTTATTATTGTTTCGTAACATTGACAACTATAGGTTTTGGCGATTTCGTTGCCTTACAACGTAACAATTCACTGGCTAAACGTCCTGATTATGTAGCCTTTAGTTTAATATTTATATTATTCGGTTTAACTGTTGTCAGTTCAGTGATGAATCTTTTAGTGTTAAGATTTTTAACTATGAATACGGAAGATGAAAAACGTGATCAACTGGTAGCAGCTGTACACGCACAAGAATTACAACGTCTACGTGGTGATGTGATATGCGCTGATAAACAGACAGATTTACAAGAACACGAACAACACCATCGCCACCTCCATCAGCAGCAGCAGCAACAACAACAACAGCAATATCAACAGCAGCGACTGGGCTACACCGCCAACAACAATAACATTCAACCTTATCAAGAGAATAATATAAATCATTTTGACAAATATAATCAAATCATGTTTATGACAAATGCACGTCGTTCAATACAACTTGAAGCCTTGAAAACACCATTAGGACGAAAAACACTAATGGAGAACTATACAAAATCTGATAATTCTAATGACCATAATATTAATAATGATAATGAAAATGAATTATGCCATGACTGCTCAAACCAAGACAAAGCAAAGATATTTAATTTTTGTTTACTTTGCTTAAAAAAGTTACAGTCTTCATCACCGGGTGTTTTAAACTCGCCTTCTATTATAGTGAATGATAAGTGTCAGCATGCACATGATGAGAATTTAATATTATCACCAATAATGCATAATACTATGTCGAGTAATCATGTCAGTAAATCTAATGAGATTTATAAAAATCGTTATCATTATCACCATCATGACAATAAAAGGTGTTCAATGAATTATTTTCCTGAATATCCTCGTCAACAGTCGACTGAGTACAATCACTATTTAGTCTATGATCAAGTCGGCCAACGAGTATCCATGAACCCTCATAAAGACAGCTTAATAAGTGATCTACCGAATTCACCGAATTCTTTGAACAGTGATACATGCTGCAGAAATCCATACATATATTCGAAGCATATTGCTCACCCACACGCGTCATCAGATTCTGAAATGTCTCCATCAGTAGGGCAAAGGTGTTCACATGACTGTAATTGTGCACATGAAATGCTGCATAGAAATCAATTCTACCAAGAAGATTTCGAGGACGGAGTAGACGTGGATACTCGGTCATTGTTACAGCATAAAATGTATAAACAGTACAATGAAGGAAGGAGTGATGTACATTCACACTGTTTATCACATCATGATTGTACTAATTATGCAAATTATCCATTTTATAACTTCTTTCCATCTAATTACAATCTGCACTCTCCTGATCATTTCGCTTCATCTAGTAAAGATAGTAAACCTAAAAAATTCTTTTCTGTTCCCTCACATCCTTCTTTTGGTTCTAGTGACTTAAAACTTCACTGTGACAATTTACCGCCAAAAACATCTTTACAAACTCCTCAACTTTCCTTATCAAAAATGATGACACCAGCAACGAAGTTATTTCCTTCATCAAGTCTCAATAAAAATCTCTTCAAATCTGATCAATCTTTTGTAAATACTTCTTCAAATTGTCAGTATCCATCTGAATGCGTTAATTTACAATCGAATTTAAGCGCTTTAAATATAACGCCAACCTCGTATTTATCATATAAACGCTTTCCTAGAACTCATCAAGAACAACAGAAAGAAGTCAATGAAGAAAATGAATATGTCAGAGGAAATAAGAAACACTTTCTACACGATAGTGACATACGTCGGACAAAACAACTTAATCATGATATACTACTTATAAATGATTCAAGTAGTGTAGAGGATGAAATGAAATATTCAGCCGATTCTTCAATCATTGATACAACTCAGAGTATGCCGAGAAAGAGATGTGTATCTGTTTGAAAAAAAAAAACAGGGAAATTATTTGACTTTCAACTTTATACTAAATCGCTGTTATCTTGATATTATTAATATGATTAACAATTTTTAAAAGATACTGGTTGTTCTCTTCTAAATCTAATACTGCTTCACATTGTGGGTTGCGTTACTGGGAACTATTATTTAGATCAGGTGGAATTGTTTTAGTGAAGTTACTTTCTCTGCTCAAGATGGAGAACACCACCACAGAAATAAACCTCCAAGAACCATTATATTTTCTGCATAGATAGTTTAAAAGCCGGTCTAACTGACTTAGAATTCGATTTGTTATTTCACTTTCTATACTAAAATTTCCCGTAAACTTATTCATAGCTTCAGCTTTGTTGATCTGTTACTTGACCGTATAATTCTCCTTAGGCTTGCATAATGGGTGTGTTAGTTGAAAATTGACATAAGTTCATTCTTTGTACTTCTTTAACCTCGGATTCTCATAGAATCACATTTTTGTATAAATATATACATATAAATGCAGTTATTTATTCTGGAAGTCGCAACTGTTAAGGCTCACCAGATGAGGTATGAGGAAAAGTACTCACCGATGACATTCGTCAGTGGTGGTGGTACCGTTAAGTCAGAATTCATAGATCATTGAGTCCCACCCCACTGGTTGAATGGTCAAATGGCTTACCTTGTAATCTAAAAGTCCTGGGCCCGTTTCTCTGTGCTATTATGAGCCAGTGCTACTGAAGAGGCCCCTACTAAGATGAAACAACTGTTTAGCACACATTTGATGACAGTTTTGTCGTTTTGGAGCTAAGGTTACTCTCAGTGGTACACTCACTTGAAATTACTGCAGAGAATCAAATCAGTTCAAACCACTCAAATTTCTGTCTGCCATTTTGGTGAAATGTTAGCACACTGGATCAAGTTCTTCACTCTTACAGCGGAAAATTCATAAGTTATGTTCCTCAGTAGAAACCATTCTATTAAATTATAGGGATAACTTTTATTATAAAGTGAGCAACAGCAAACAGATTTGCCCGTTTTTCTGTGGCCAGAATGCTTCGCTGTATGTAAGACTGACTACACGCTTTGTCACCTTATCAAGGAAGAACATGGTCTTGAAGTTAGTTTGGATGATGGTGTCTAGGAGGACAGTAAAGGTGTCACAATCAAACTGGCAACACCCACGTGGGCTACAAATGTTCTCCGTTATCTCGAGAACTGTTACTTAATTCATTTAAAAGTAACTGTTACTAAGGAAACTTTGGGAAACGTAATTATGTGTTAAATACTTGACAGTATTCGATAGCAGAAAATTGGTGCAAAACGTAAGGTTTCAATTCGTGTTTAATGATTGAGGGGATTTTATCGAGTGTCACTATAAAATCGTCTTTATGGAGTCACAGTGCGTCTGAGTCTCAACATCTAAAAGTAAACAAGATATTGAAATTATCTTGAATTTCCAGCCAGTTTATTGTATTCGACAGAGAAGCTTGGCGTCTATTGGCACCCAATAACCACTGGATAAGAGGTAACTTCAGTGACTCAACAATGTGGCGGATAATGCATTTGGATTCAAGGTGATGAATATTATATCAGAGTCCCACCAAAAATACAGGAATATCTATATGACGACGAGAGTCATATCCTTGGTTCCGTTGTTATCTGGCAATATCTAAGCGGACAAAGTATTGATTATCTCAGGAATTACTACTTTTCATACTTGTTCTTTGAGTTACGAGTACGAAAGCGGGCTTCAGTTACACCTTTCTATTGCACCCAGGCCTCTGTCATCAGTTTCATCTAGCTTCACATGATCTCCTATATACCATCTTTGGATACACAACTTGTCGCTTCTCATGAGAGATCCAATCCACAGAGTGCCTGGTATATTATTTCACTTAAATATCTCCTTTTCATTTTCTTTTAGCGTAATTGTTGAGCGACACAATAGATTTTAGGTTAGTTTGCTGACAGAGTTTCTAGTTGCTTATCCCTTACAACCGGTCATCTAATCTTAATCACTGAGCCACTGGATGCAGCTGTTGATGAAAGCATTTAGCCTTTCTGAAATGCTTTGCGTGATGCAGGTGCCGAATCTCTCAACCACAGTTTTAAAAATTTGAATCTTTTGCCTTGTACCAAGTGCTGTAGATATCCCCACTGATTTCAGAGCAATTAAAGCTTGTCTTTCTTTCCTGATACGGTTTGGCTTTGACATCCTGAACCGTTGAGCCTACAAATAGTTGCAATGATGCTGCACAAGTTAGTGAAGGAGACAACCTTCTTCACAGTGCTCACAGTGCTGGTGATTGGTGCTCAATGTTCTTATTTGAGTATTTTTATCACTTCTGTTTTATCTATGCTCACATGTTGTCTTATCTTCGATATCTCTCTTGCCAACGTGTTAGTTTTAGCTTGTATATCTTCGAGTTAGTAAGACATAAAACAGAAATCATCTTTGGTAGTTAACTTTCCTTCACTCCATTCTTTATTTCACTGGATTCATTTCAGCTGATATCTTCCAGGACGGCTACCCGGTTATTTGCTACAGTGGTCCGTTTTACCCGAAACCCGCTACCAGTGGGTTGTGACGGCCGTTCTTTTCCTACATATCATTATTTTTTACCCCTTCGTCCATAGTTTTGTGGATTGTACTCAGATTCCCCTTTCGTTGTTCACTTCAATAATGGTTCATTTTCTATCTCACAATCCTTCTCCCTTCTATCAGATTCCAGGTTTCCTTAGGTAGCAACTACTTATCTTGCTTCATCATCCTGTCTAACATATGCACACACGTTTCCTTTCTCGTCATTTTCAGAGATTTCTAGTGTTCATTTACACAAGTTTTGTTAGTGACTGCATCAAAAGTGTCCCTGTGACTGATTCCTTCAGATTCTCGGTTTTAAACTTGAATCGTCATCTACTTCCAACTTCTTTGAAAACTTTCAACTTGATTTTGAAGGTTTTCTGAACTAAATAGTGATCTGAAACTACATCTGTTCCTCTTCTTTATCTTGTGCTCAACAGAATACTACTCAATTTTCTCGAGATCGAGGTTATCTCTATTTTTTTTTTGGGTGTGTTCATTAGGTGAAACCCACATCCCTTTGTAGATATTTTTGTGCTTGTATTCTCTGCCTCCCATCATCAAGTGATTTAAGGTTTAGAAGTCTGCCAAGGGTTCTCTGTTCTCATTGACTTCACCGTGCTGTCCTCCACTCATAATCAGTCCTGTTCCTATGTCTCCAAATTTAGCATATATTCACATAACTCTGTGAAATTGTGAGTCTCAATCTGGCTGGACCCTTGTACCTCACTGTCTGCAGTTGCCTGCAAAATTTCTTCTGTTTCTCATGCCCCACTTTGTAGTTGCATATAATTGCAGCTTCTTCCTTCTGAGTTGATTGTTTCTGTCATTATTTTGGGTGAGTTTGGTTTTCACCGTACAAGGATTTTCAGTGGCGTTGGTAACATCTTGGTAGCTACTTCCTTAATGTTTACCACCTGGAGGACTGGAGTAAATTTTTGGCTCCAAATTAGAATTTTAATTTCTTTCGCATTCTGGCGAGACTTCCAGATTTAGGAGGATAAGAAGCTGGGTTTGTATGTATTTCTGAGTGTCAGTGGCGTTAGGGTTTTCCTTTTTTGAGTAGGGTAGCTATCCTCACGCTTACCTGTGCCATTTGCAGCGATTAGAACCGCCTGGTTAACTGGGTGAGGTTAAATTGAAGATGATTAACGAAATATTTTTAGAACACAATCCATCTCTGTGTAAATAAGTGGGAAGCATAAATTCTACAAATAATGACCAGAAGTGAATGAAGAGCAAAACAAAATAAAATATACTTAAAAAAACTTCTAATTTATCTAAATCAAGGCATGTGTACTGATTCAAGCATAAATAGCTTGGCTTCCAATGTTCATTGGGTTATTTAGTTATACATATTTCTCAGAATCATTTTGTCACATTCAATTTGTCATTTGGCTATTTATCCTTAAATTTTCCAGGATCAGTTAGCTAACTTAAAGACCATCGAAGTATTTCTGTAAAACAAAGTGAAAGACAAGAACAAGCAGACGGATTGAGTGAGTGAGTGACTGACTGACTGACTGATGGAACTCTTCCATGCTACACGATTGTTTCGGTTAAGTCACTTCAAATCAGGGAAGTCATGAATATTATTTAGTATTATTCATTCGGCGACACATACCCAGTGTACTCGATACTCCACCATCATTTTTAACGGACTCCACAACTGCTTACAAGGTTTAATCTCATATTCTCATGATCTATTTTATATCACCTATGGACACGTAACTGGTTGAATCCCTGTCGTGTTCCACTTGAGAGCTGTATGTGTGTATTTTTATTTGAATATCCCCTCAGAATATATCCAATCCATCTCCGTTTCATTCTGAAATTTACTTTATAAAATGCCATAAAGATAATTAGTTCAACAACGAAGTATGATGAAATGAATGTGAAGCATTATTGTAACTGGACGGTTTTAACTGAAACTTAATCCATAATACCGATAGTCTTCAGACATCAGTTTCAATTAAAACTTTTATGCACAGTTAAAACTAACAATTAAAAAAAGATGATTACTCTTGATCTGATCAGTTTTAGTTGCCTTTTAGAGCTCAAAAGCAACTTCAGATAACATTAGACATAATATTCAATGAAGCTAAACAGTAGATGTCTTTGTTTTATGAAAAGTTACAAGCCTGATGTCCATATTATTTAAGTCATGACTTCAGTAATGCTACAAAGGTAGGAGTGGACAAATAACCACAGTCTTCGTCTAGACGTGCAACAGTGTTTCATTGGTTGAAATCTCGTGATGGCAGGCATGGAATAATCACCAAAGTGTAGTCAGAGTATTCTTAGTATGCTTTAAATGCCACATACAAGAGGCAAGTGGGATAAATTTTATAACAAGTCAGATTTTTCGTGTGCAAAATTCAAAGTTGGTAACATCTAAAGAGTCATCCAATAACCTGAACATCAGGAGTATTAGCATCAGCAAGATGGGCCTTAATACATCAACTTTTGTTGGTTGTCTAACTGAAAGACATCTTAAAGCTTTAGATCTAGTGACTTGG